CACAACGTTATGATCACGTAGTACACGACTAATAACGCGAATTTTCTTTCCGCAGTCGGACGACGAGGCAGACGAGGAGGAGGAGAGCAACGCGGTGGAGGAGGAGGAGGAGGAGGAAGAGGGCGCGAGAGGGCGCGAGGGCCGCGTGGGGGAGCCCATGCCCACGGCCGCCAAGTCCGCCATCATCGCCTCCTCCGCCATCTTCGGCCTGGCCATCCTCGTCTTCCTCGCCATCTTCCTGGCGTGCAAGATGCGGCAGAAGCGCCAGCGCAGGAGGTACGTCCTGCTTGCGTCCCACCTGCCCCTCCCACTCCTCATTCCTAATCCTAACCGGCTCAGAGCATCCACTGATGCCACTGCGGTCATTCTAACCGGAAGGTCCTAGGGTTCAACTTCCGACAGTGGCAGGGTTTTCAATTCAAGGTAGATAGCTAGGTCAAATCCTGCCGCTTTCAGGAGGAGAATTCTCGCGACCGGCTGCTCTGGTCGGTAGTTTTCCGATCAACACCAGGCAAAGGCCGAAGGAGACAAACTGACCACGGGCTGCGCGCGATCTTTCCTTCCTCTTTCTTGTCCTATTCTCACCTCTTACTTACACTTACACAAGCACTACTACGTTATCACACGTGTCGGGAGACCAGCCGGGTGCTTTAGAGATTCATCCGACTAGGGCAGTGCTTCAATGGTGGAATATACCTATACGGGGAAATCCCAGAAATTCGACGTGTGGTTGACGCAGGATCACACGCTCTATTGAGCTACTTTGCCACCTCTCGCAAAAAACATTCACTACACTGACGGAACTAATGACCGTACCAGTTGACGCCGCGTCCGGAAACAAGAATAAACAACTACTTTTTCCCCCTTTCTCTCCCTCCACATTCTCTCCTTGCTTCAGACTTCCTATGCTCCTGTCTTCCTGTTCCTGTTTCTTCCTTTACCTCTTCCTACATCAATCTCTCAGCTAGTGTTATTACCGCCAATGTTATCTCTCTTTAACCAATACGTTTCACTAATCATCTTTCACCTCCTCTCGTCCTTATTATTTTTATCTATCACTTATCCCTTCACCTTTTCCTCCCTCTCCAGTCTCTACGCACTCTCATCCTTGTCCTGCTTCTCCATCTTTCCTTCCTCCTTTCACTTTTTTCAACTCTTTCCTCCTCAAGTATTATCTCACCACATACATTTTCATCAGCATCTTCATCACACTACCACCTTTGCCAACGTGTTTCTTTCACTATCCACTTATTCCAATTCCTTCCCATTCCCTGATCTCATTCTCGCATCCTGTATCTGCCCACTCACCCCCACCCTTTTCATCTTTCTCCCTCTTCCCTTTTCTCTCAACATTCTCCCATCTCTTCCCACCTTAGTTCCACGTTTTTTATCCTCCATCATTCTCACCTTTTCTACCCCATTATTTAGGGAAAGAAAGTCGGCTGTCGTATGTTATAGATTTACTGCATGTAAAAGGTCCTCTAAAAAATAAAGAAAAAAAAAAAAAAAACTGACCCAAATACGAATCGCCTGTTTTGTCGCCCCAGTGTTACCTTCTTTCGCTACTAGATGGCGAAAGGAGCGTAGCGAAATTCGCGTGGTCAGGCGGAAGAACAGGCCTCATAGCCTGAGCCCCGTACAATAAGGCATCATTGAATTGTGAGCTTTAGAGCACACGTGGTATAAGTGCCCTAAATGTGGTTGAGAAAATCGAGTTCAAAGTTGAGCGACTACGGAAGAAGCTATGGAATGCTTGTTCTTTCCACCGCTAGAATGCGGCAACTGTTCGAGCTATTATAATACCGCTTATTCACGAAATAAAAAGGTGCTTCTGCACTCCTACTCCTAACTCAAATTTGCCAAAAATAAAGTACACAATTTGTGCTTTGAGCCCCTCAATCCTGCACCCTCCCCGCTGACGAGTGCCCCGGCTGCCAGCAGATACGTGGGCGCGGTGCTGGAAGGCGCGCGCGCCCGAAGCCCCATCCTGGCCGAGTCGCTGTCGGCCAGCAGCCGCCAGTGCAGCGCCGGCGGCAGCAACAGCAGCCTGGGCCTGGGCCTCGGCGGCGGTGCGCCCCTCAGCCGCCAGAGCTCGCGCCGCGCGCTCAGCCCGGGGCTCGTCGACGGCCTGCCGGCGTGCCACGGCTGCGCCAGCAGCTTGAGCGGCGGCGGCGGCGGGGGCGGAGTCGTCGGCGGCGACCTCACCGGACCCGACTCGGACGACTACGTCGAGCCGCGACGCTACTACCTCTGGCGGACCATCCGCAAAACGCTACGATACAAGTAGTTCGCGCAGCTGCCGCCCCCGCAGCACGCTCCGCGGCGACATGGTTGGCGTCACCGCCGCGACGAGGCGCCACGATAGCGAGTGGAGAAGAAAATAAAGCTAACGCGCGAACGTTCGAAAAGTACAACATTTATCCGCTGATGGACACAACATTCTGTGGCTCATCTCACGAAAACGAAAAGGTTTTGCCTCTTGCCTACGAAACATTGAAAAGTTGTGTTTTACACACAATATAGTTTCAAAACTTCGTTTATTTCTTCAGAAACTGCCATAAATGTTACAGATTTATTTGTTGCACATCACATCTAATTCATCTCATGCATGTGGATTTTTGAGAAAATATTTCGAAGTTCAGTGCTCAAGGTCTTTACAAGAAAGTTTCAGTATCCCTTTACTTCAACATGTGACCAAAATAACCAACCATGAACAATAATAGTCCTTAGGCCTTATTTACAAACCATTATATACAATAGAATATACAGTTCTTCACCAAAGTTAATACACTCAAAAACTTGTAAATATTTACAGTGAATACTTAACATATGTCAAATCAAACTTACAAATAAGAAATTCTTCTGCATATCAAATGAATACAAGAAACAACACAGGACCACAAAAACTTGATGGAAATAACATTCACACAGAAAGAACAAATGAACATCCTATTTCTCATGTTAGGGAAAGGGACAATTTTCAAGCAACACAACAATGAAGAGGCTACCAAGTTCTGCTAATGCCGTTTTTATAATGTGAATCTGGCATGCATACCCCCAGTATTGATTCAGTTCAGTAGATTAATTATTAAATAGTTGTAATATTCATCCTAGAAAAGTCATCCTTCATCAACAGTTTCAAATTAGAAAATAATCTGGAAACTGTAAGAAGTAAGATAAAAAATGAAAAGGATGCTTCTCAGCTTTTGCCAATTTTTGTTTGGAAATTTTATATTAACATTGTCACATAACAAAAATTATAAATTGGATTCAAAATTTAATTTATTAGACACATGAAACCAATTACACAAAAAGCTGAACAGAGATTCTTGAAAAGTTAGAAGAGAGGAATTGGATCTTAAAATATTTTGTATACTGAAATATGCTAGTTCCCATCTTCATTTTATTTATATAATGAATGATAAAATGCAAGTAAAAGTTAGACAATTTCAAAAGAAAAGTTTTAATACTTAGATAAATAGAATAATAGATAAATAAATTTTTTATTGTCATTTCCACTCTGAATTCTTGTACAAATTTTACAATAAATGATTACAGATCCTACACAATACTTCAATAGGTGGATTCATTCCACCCATAAAATAAAAATATATACAGTTGAAAATGTCTACATTTTTAAAAGAAGCAAACATTCATTTACATGTGTAAAAACTTTTGTTTTAGATTAAAATAACAGCTGAAGAGAAGCATCTAGTGTACATAGTGCAAAAAGTAACATTAATTCCACAATCTTATGTAGATGTAAGATAAAGGCTGGGCATCCATGTAAGTTCATGTAAATAGCCCTTCCTTCACATTGTTAATTTATTGTTAATTTTTGGGCATTTAATAAAGAGTGCTGTTTTCCCATATTTATTTTTGATTCTTCACTGTGAATCCCATCACAATTCTTTAATTTAGCTCAAGCAAACAAATCAGAAACTTTTAAAACAACCTCAAAGAAACATCAAACAGCAAAATATCTTATAATAGCAGATAAGCCTTGTTGATTAGGATTTAATTTTTTGCATTGTCACTCTTGTCATGAAACAAACTGTGAAGACATTAAAATATCACAAATATATATCAAATCTACAGTTGACTCCTGTTATAGTGAACTCAGAACACACGGTTATAGAGAACGTAAGTCAATTGTCCTGTTTCACTTGCACACAATAAGCACAAGAAGAATCAGTTATAGTGAACCTGAATCTTGGCGATAGTGAACGTAGTCCTGGAAATTAATTGGATCTCGTATGTTATTAGGTGTATAAAAGGGCCTTCTAAGAGTGGGATGGTGTTCCAACAGTGTAAGAAGCACTGAACAGTGTCAAGACTTCATTACGATACTTAAAGAGACAGGACACTCCAGTATTAAGTATGGAGAGAGAGCAAACTCGGGAGAAGGATCTAGAGAAATTACTAATGAAACAATATAAGAAGCAAACTTGAAAGTAATTGATTTTAAGGGCAAAGAAAAATATTGCTGTATCTCTAAGTTAATAAAATCAATCATTCTGGAGAAATTCTATTTAATTTTGACATCATTGGATATAGTGAACTCAACATGTTAGTCCAATAAAGTTCACTATAACCAGAGTCAAATCAAGACACACTCTTGGCATACACTAATTTGCCGGGTGATCCAAATCAATATTTTTGAATGGGGTAGGGAAGAGAGAATTCAAACAAATAGCATTGTAGCAAGTGAATCGCACTGTGAAAATGAATATTAATCTTTGTGAAGAGTTTGTTACACATGCTCGAGGCAGCAAGGACATTGATGGGCACTTGGTTTGTTGTCCAGTAAGTAGTAAACTATATTTTGTAAGAGATGGAAATGAAAAAATGCACAATGATAGAAGTATGTATCCAAACTCTGAAAGGGAAATCTTTGGAGACCTCTTAAAAATTAAGAGGTCATCTTGTAATTAAGAGTCAATTTATATTCAGAAAAATATGTAATTCTTTTAATGTTATTCTCCTTATTTTGGAAGGAATGACTGGATTAACCCCATTACTTCATATTTCTTCAGGATTTAAAATTTTACTTCAATTTGATAAATCAAATATGATGCAATAGGAATTCAGGCTACTTTTATGACCTTGTGTAAAGAAGAGATGGCAGTAAACAAATGAAGGAGCAGATCTAATTATTTATTACCGAAACTATTACAAATAAAATTACAAACAACATGCCAAAAATTAATAATAATACTAGTATCAACCAAAATGTTAAATAAAAAAAATGTTTTAATTCTTCTTTCATCCACTACACACTTAAGGAGTTGATCATAAATTCATCAATCAGAATTGTTTCAATAATAATTACTCACTTGCTCTGGAGAGAAATTTTTAAAATGCACATTCACTTTAAAAACACAATAAGAATAACAAAATAACAAACTCAAATAAAAGTATTAAGAGGACTGATATCCACTCACCGATACTCGTCATACGTGAAGACATCTCGAAGTAGTTCACTGGCTGGATCACTGGTGTTCTGCAATTGTGCAAAAGATATTAAAATATTGAACTTGGTAATTGTTAAGAGAACCGAATTTACAATATCAGGCACATGAAAAAATATCATTGAAACCTACTACATGAATAAACCCATATTAGAAACAACAACTCTTTAATTTCAACTCATTGGTTCAAATACTTCTCCCAATGCTTCCTAGTCAGCTCTAATTTACAGTCCATAAACAACATTCTTACAGTAAAATATCATGCAAAGACAAACACTGAAAACAATTTTCTAGGGAGAAAAAGCATGAATAGCTGAGAGAGAAAGTTTAGTACTGTAGTTAATTTCACAGTTGTTACTATTAGAGTATTACAAATTTTTGTTTTACTATTGAACAATAATCTTGTTTATTTCTCATTGGATACTTCTGAATTCACTCACCTGGAAGAGTTTGCTGAAGTAAGCATACTGCCGAGCAATGTTTCTGCAGTGTTTCAAAGCAGGTTCTGAAACAAAAATTCATTCATTTCAAGATATTACTTTGGAGGGTGCCTACTTTCAACTGAATATGTTTCCCAAGTTTTATGCTTGAGTAACCCCAATTTCCTCTCCAGTAATTTATTTTGAGACACAGCACTTAAATACTTCTATCAATATAAAAATGAAAAAGAAAACTCCGTACCATATTAATTTCTCCCATAATTCTAATGCCACGACAGTGAAGAGGAACCCCTAGCTAGGCATCCATAATAAAGTAAAGTCTCTGAAGTCAATACTAAACATTTTTCTTTCCTTGTTTTCAAGTACAGTCTAACATTAAAATTATGTATTTTGATTACACAAACCAGTGTTTACTTGTGTATTTCCCACACTTTGCTTTACCTGGATTTTATATACTTTCCCTGTTTCAACAGAAATCATCGATTTGGCTTACAAATTCCAAGTTCGATGATAATCCATATTGGAAATGTAAATGGAAGGTGAAGGGAACCACTAAGCTACCAAGACAACCAATCCTGGTGACAGGAATGGCGACAATTAAATATATATACAAGGAGCGATATTCACGCTCATGAAAATTGTTCAAAGCATAGGTTATCTCAGTAGTTTAGAGGCTAGAGAAGCTGGGCGTAAACCAGAAGGTCAGGGTTCGAATCCCGCTCGGGGCACCCAATTCTTTGAACAAATTTAATTATAGGAATTTGAGTTACAAAAGTTTAGGTTGTCATATCACTGTGGTATTTTCAAAGACCAGGTGGGAGTGAGATTTATTCTGTTTCATTGTTTGATTTTATATTTTCTCACATACTACTTACGTAGTTTGCAAAAAGTTTTATAATGCTGTGGCAAAAACAAACAAATTATCAGCAGAGAAACTAGTTTTAAAGGGGCACTGACACTGAAAAAGTGGATAATTTTTGTTCCTAGATGTAGTAAACTACTTTAACATATTGTATAATAAGAATCCATGTTTTGTAAGTCCTAGTTACTGAAAATTTGGTGTCTGTCAAAATGTCTCTCTGTTCATCTGTCTGTCCTGCAGGCTGTGGTCAATGCTAGTGCCTAAATCATTCAGATGAAATTCTCTAAAAATTAAATTTCCTTGATCAATCTTGTCAAATGCAAGGTAAATTTGAAATGGAAATTTTGAATTTGATTTCAGAGGGCAATTAGTGAATACAACACACATGCACATTTTTTATTTAAAGGCATATGACTGTTTTAAATTTAAAATTTTACTTCAATAGTGATATTATTTATACGCTCCACTTCTGAAATCATCAAAGTGAATGATGAAGGTGATAGTTTTTTTTAAGTTGAAAACTGTCATTTTATTGCCTTAGTTTCATAATCCAGAAGAGATTTGGTACCAATTAATATGGATTATTAATTTTCTACTGAACTTATGTCATGAAATAAAAATAAAAAATGACTCTGGGATTTTTGTACATAATTTATTGAATGATACATCAAAATGAAACTTGTTCCACTTTAGCACCCTATGGCTCCTCATTCAGCAACACTGATACTCATTTCATTATGATGATTGTATTAACGTATAACTAAAATTTTACAAATTTAGAACCAGAGCCCAGAATTTTGGCAATATACCTTTTTGTTATTGTAATAATTTTACTGTTTTTAACAATACAAATAACTTAACAGTACTTCTGGAAGTTTTTTAGTAGATTTTCATTTTGCATTTTAATGCCTTTTATAGCTTCTAATGCCTATTTTTGCCTTTTCCTGCCTTTTACATATTTCTTTTTTCTCCTGGCAGCAATCTCGATCAAGATGAATATATACCTGCAAGCCTGGACAACACAAAGCCAAAGTCATGTTTTGTCTTTCTGTGGAAGCAGAGGCTGTGTAAAACTCTAAATAAAAAGGAAGATTATACCAGACAAGATTTTTTTTTTCCATTGATGCCAACAGGCTTTGCTTGCTCACAAGGAATTCCATCCTACTTTTAACTATGACCTCCAATCCCTTTTGAAGTTAGCTCTGTGTTCGATAAACCCTTTCACAGCTAGCTATGAAAAGAGTGAAGAACAAAAAATATTTCACTGATGCCGGTTTCACCATTTTCACTGATGCCATTTCAAGATTTAAACACGAGTTCACAATATCATTTCAAACAGAGAGCATCGCGAGGGAAACAAATTCATAGCTATCATATCAGATGGTATGTGAAATCTAGACTACAAAGATAATATCGTCTCTCTACACATTAATTTTAAAGTTGGAATGAAAAAATGAATCATTTTAATTCTTAATTTTTTACAATTTTTTCTTTTAAAAGTAATTTTTTATTATGCCTCTTTACACCCCTACTTTATCTAGAATAAATCCTTTTTTCAAGTGTATTTTAGTAAAAATAAATACCTTTCTGCTTGCTTATTTGAGGTAAAAATAAATGCCTGAACTTACAGGCTCTATTAATAATATTTTCCGACATAGTAATGTGCTCCAGAGGCACCTGCGATTTCAGCAAAACTCACCAAAGGAAGGAGAGCCCTTCAGCTCTTGCAGCTCCTGAGTGGTGAAGTACAGTACCGTGCTGTACGTGGTGGGCAGCGCCCGGATGTAGGGCTCCCAGAAGGACTCCGGGGAGAACTTCTCCACCAGGAGCAGCAGTGCCAGAGCCACGTGGGGCATGTGCTGCAGCATGGCGTCCTTCACCAGCAGGGAGCCTGCGTCACAACCGGGACGGATTAACATACAAGCACACTATGCACTACGAGCTTGGAGGCCCAATAGTTTTTAAATAAAATTGTATCATGTGCCAGGAAAGTCTATCCGCACTGCGTTGAGTCAGGGTCTCCTTTAATAAATTGCATTTATGTTGGTAGCGACCAGATCACTTGTAAACAAGTGAAGAGAACACTTCCAGATCTGTTATGATTGTGGTGAGTATGTAACATTCATCTTCTTTTGTTAGACGCCACAGCTCAGGCTACCGACATAATTTCTGTTGCTAACACTATCACAAGCAAGGTGCCACTGTGGAGAGACTTTCGTGACACACAGTATATAGGTTGTCCAGGGAGGAAATGTCAAAATTTTGAAAATAATCTTTTAAGGCAATTTTAAGCATATTTTGTCTAATAAACTTTTGGGGTATTCCCAATGGCTAATCCGTAATAGGCATTCAAAACTTGGATTGGAAAAGTACTTTCTATGCAAAAAATTGCATTGCAGAAACATATAAACACTCTACAAACATGTAAATTGTTTACTATTTACAGAAGAAATTAATATATTTGTTGAGAAAGAAAAATTAAACCAAATAAAAAAGCAGTTCTGTAAATGTTTATATTTACACTATTTTAAATAGGAATAGTTAATAACAATGTTTGACAAAATTTAGTGGCAAATTCTAATAAAAGTATATTTTACTAAAATTGTTGAGGCTCTAATCAAGGTTTTACTTTCTTGCTATCGCTTACGCCGTAGAGAAAGTTATGTAATGCTGCCCGAAATACGGCGAATTTTCGGTATAAAAACTCTTATTACAGGGCCTTAATAACGAAAAAGTAAATAAATGCAGTTTTTAGAAACAATCCTCATATTCGTGATGTAGCCAGAATCTATGTTTTGTGGGTCCTTGATACCGAAAAATCGAATGACTGCAAAACGTCTGTCTGTACGTCCGTCCGTCTATGAATAATGCCGGCCGATTTTCTCAGAAACCCATATTCCCCATTCGATCTGGACGATGTGGCAGCCCGTGTTTGAAACCAATATTTCAATTTTGGGGGATACTTTACATAAAGCCCAAGGGACATTTTCTATTTTTTTTAATGGCTGGAACGTTTTTTATTAAAGTTTTTTACTGGATATTGTGCAGAACGTTTAAGAGAATGGTGCAGGTTTCTTGTACGTTGAAAACTAATTTTTTGAAAATTGCATAAGTTCAAGATTTTTTCGGCGTCTTTCTACAACTAAAATTTTAAAATATATATTTTTTCCTTTAATGAAATCTATTCCTTAAAAATAGATTTTGAATTAAGGTCATGCAAAATTTTCCGAAAATTTTGGCACTTTTCACATAATTTTGCGTGTAAGTACAGGCGACAAAGTACGTGCTGTTTTAGCACCACTACAGTACCCGCAGCGTATAAGCGATTCTGGCAGTTCGACGCGCTGTTGCCTTACATTACAACCACATGGCACCACCTCTGCGACAGATGAATGAAATCTCAAAACATTAACACATACTGACAGGCTATGACACGACTTGGTATCACGTTCATAGCCTTATCGCCCACGCGACTTCGTGCGAGTACGATGAGCGGCGTCACTAAACCCCGGCTGCGAGGAAGGAAACAAATCCTCGCAAGCTGATTGCTTCAGAGCAGGTCACGTGACGTACCACAGCACGTGGCGAGAGAACTGTCAAGAGTCGCTTATACGCTGCCAGTACTGTTTCTACGAATCTTTCAGCGCGTTTGCCCGGGCAGCGCTGCGGCCTGTTAGCAACGCCCCCGAAGTACTGTATTTTAAATGTAAGTAATATTTGCTTATTTTTTACGCTCTACAATTGGATTCAACGGTTCTCCTCCCCACTGCGCGATACGTGAAAATGCACGAACTTGGCTCGAATGTGTGTCAAGAAGATCTTATAATTAAAGGCGTTACCGCATTTCTTCAAATTTTTTAACGCCTACCCATCAGGGGTGCGATGTTAGAAATGTCACAAGTGAATCTTCAGGATACGAGTGTCTCCAACACGTGTTCATGAGCAAAAGGTAATATTTAACTCCCCTAAATCCCCTGGAACAGGTTAGCTCAACTCAAGTCACTCGCCGAGCGGCTCACTTTCCACGAGCACAGGTTATAGCTATGTATTAAAATAGTTTTAAAACATTGTTACAAGGTATTTTTGAAACACGGGCCCCTATAGATCTTCTGCCCCCAGATGCCTTGTACTTTCTTCTTTGACATTCCAACGTAGTCAAAGTGTTAATCTGTTAAACATGAATGCATAAACAGTTGCCTAACCGTCAGGGGCATATATCACTTTGTAGCCGTTACATGAAATTTCCCATATGATTAAGAGCTAATTCGTTTACATCGTTTTTGAAGCATTAATTTACATGCATATTTTCATCTGCTTTTTGATATGAAATGTATTAGTTCTTGCAATATTTTAACCTGCAACGACACACACTGAATTGACACTGAGGCATTAACATACCCAAACCCATATTGGTTGGCAGAATACATTCATAGCGCTATCCTGTCTTCGGTACTGCTTAGCTGTTTTAGAACCTATGATTTGAAATGACGATAATAAAATAAAACATGATCGAACGACCTTTTCGAGAGACTAGTTACCTCCGCAAACGGCCATTTTTCGTGGTATCGATTGATTTTTCCCTAAGACATGTGTATATGGCTTTTTTTTGCGACCACCTCATTTAACGACCAGCAGCCATGTCTTCGTAGACTGATCTTTATTAAGCGATTCTCTCAAGATATGTTTATCGTATTTTATTGTATTATAAGAAAAAGCGGAAAGTGGTTTCAGATTACTGTTGATTTAATTTCTTCCTATAGCGGAACGGATTGTCAGATACTTCGAATAATGACATTCAAAATTGTGAATCTCGAATCGCGATTACTTTCCGTTTCCGGTAACAACATAAACTTCATAAATTTCTCTTAACGAAACATTAACGTGTTCGTTTGTCCCGTTTCACAGCATTCCTATGCCATGCTAACTCTTATTTCCCTTCTGTGGGAATCTTAAAAACAAGTGGGGCAAGAGACGTTTTAATCTAAAGGCCAATCGCTAACTCTTTCATGAACCGACCCTGCTGTAAAGGATATGAATTGGATCTTATACTTTGCTGGCTTGACTCCGCTAGCGTAAACATGTCGCTCGAAGCAATGGTATTATCCACGCAAGACTTCTTGGGCTCTCGCTTGCGAGAGGAGAGTGGGGAGTTGGGCTATTTTGACGAAAGGAATTTTGCATGAAATTTGTTGTTCCTTTTTCGATGCAAAACATTTTCTATTACACAGCGAACGAACATTCTGGTTATCAGATTTTGTCTACAACGCTCGTTGCTACCATTTATTCTTAATTCAACTAATGTTGGCAAAGGAGTGGGGTATTCCGGGGCTCAAGAAAACGTGCGCGTATGTCTGGGTCGCGACCTTTCATGGACAGCTGAGTATCAACCGACTCCGGCCACGGAAACTGCTTTCATTATCCTAAATACTTAGTTTAAATTGTATTTTGTCATTTCTAGTACTTAAAAACGCTAAAGAGAAAACACTCCACTTCATAGCAATATGCAAAATCAGATTTAATTCAAAATTTCGACTTCATAAGCTTAATCATGCGCCCATCTTCATAACGGCCAATATTTGCCGGAACGGGAGTCTGTAGCCCAAATACTTAACCATGTTCTGTGAAGTCACAGAGGTTAGGTAGATCGAGACACTGAGGGCCCCTGGATGGGTGACCGCCTGGGAGTCCCGGATACTAACGGTACCGAGCCTCTGTTAAGCCAATAAGGGTATATTGCCGCGGCAATTGACAAAATGACTACGTTCAAAGAGAATGACACCAAGTGACATACGAAAGGTGGCTCGTGGCTAGCTTTTGGTCAGCGCGCTCACTTTCCACTTTGCGGCCTCGTGTTTGATTCCCGGTAGAGCCAAGACTATATGTGCGTTTTCATCCACTATCCACCGCATTTTTAAACTTCTAGGCATGGGAGATACTTCATGCACTGGGGACATTGATGAAGAAAGGAAAGTAGAGCGTTACAAACAAATACGCCATACGACAAAAGAACCGTAAAAAACAAGAGGGAGAAGAGGGAGGAGGAGGAGTAGGGGGAGAAGAGGAAGGAGGAGGAAGAAAAGAGGGAGGAGGAGGAAGAGAAGAGGGAGGAGGAGGAAGAGAAGAGGGAGGAGGGGGAAGAGAAGAGGAAGGAGGAGGAAGAGAAGAGGAAGGAGGAGGAAGAGAAGAGGGAGGAGGAGAAAGGGAAAAGGGAGGAGGTGAAAGAGAAGAGGGAGGAGAAAGAGGGAGGAGGAGGAAGAGAAGAGGGAGGAGGAGGAAGAGAAGAGGGAGGAGGGGGAAGAGAAGAGGGAGGAGGAGAAAGAGAAAAGGGAGGAGGTGAAAGAGAAGAGGGAGGAGGAAGAAGGATTAGGAGGAGGAATCAGGATTAGGAGGAGGAAGAAGGATGAGGAGGAAGAAGGATGAGAAGGAGGAAGAAGGATGAGGAGGAGGAAGAGAAGAGAAGGAGAAACATCAGTGACCGCTCACGTCCGGTTCCACCCTTGCCTTCCGACAGCCCAGCGAACTCACCGAGCACGGAGTGCTGCACCTGCTCGGAGGTGAGCATGAGGCGGCGCGGCACCGCCACCACCAGCTCCCCGGGCGCCAGGTCGCGCTGCGCCTGCAGCCCCCAGCCGCAGCCGGCGAACTGCGCGGGCCGCACGCCGCCCACGTCAGCGCCCTGCGCCACCATCCACTGCAGCAGCTGCTCCAGGCGGGCGGCGCGCGCGCTCTCGGCCTCGGGCGTCACCTTCATCCCTGCGCAACGACAACGACATTCCGTGCAATTCAATGCGATTCAATGTTGATTTATCCCTACACACCACCACCGTGCAATTCAATGCGATGCAATGTTGCTTTATCCCTACACACCACCACTGTGCAATTCAATGCGATTCAATGGTGATTTATCCCTACACACCGCCACTGTGCAATTCAATGCAATTCAAAGTTGCTCTATCGCTACACACCACAATTGTGCAATTCAGTGTTGCTTTATCCATATATACCACCACTGTGCAATTCAATGCAACTCAATGTTGCTTTATCCCTACACACCCCCACCGTGCAATTCAATGCGATTCAATTAAATTTTATTTTATATGGCGAGGCGCAAGCATTCGGGAGGTGCGCACTCCAGACCTCGGGCGCCACTTTTATCCCGGCAGAACAACATTCCATGCAATTCAATGCGATTCAAACCGGGGGAGATGACTCAGAGTATCAATTGATGTCACTGCAGTCCCTCTGACCGGGAGGTCCTAGGATTCAAATCGCGACGGTGGCAGGATTTTCGACTCTACCTTGTCAGCTAGGTCGAATTCAGTCGCTGTCTGGAGGGGAATTCTAGCGGCCGGCAGCTTTGATCGGTAGTTTCCCGTGGTTTCCCCGAACAACATAAGATGAATGCGCATCTGCGCATTTCGCCCTGAGGAAGGTCGCAGAACGGCGGCCGAAACGTTGGTACTTGCGCCTAGGACGCGACGTCTCCCGGGCAACGAAGTAAACTACGATTTATGCAATTCTGCCCCCGGCAGGTATCAGCTGATGACGGTTTCATCCAATCGGGAGCTTGAACGTCACTATAGAGACGCTCGGCAGAGTTGTCAAAGTCGCAGTATACCTATTAATCGCGCTACTTTTATTGAACAATGATCTTGCAACCCCCTCTCAGGCACAATAACCAGTTGTAGGCAAAAGCTCGCAGTGCACTGATGACAACATTCCAAACACATCTTCACTGGCGCGAAATAAAAACTATTTTCTGTTGAAGTTCAAAACTTCTGTCCGTGATTTACTAAAAAAAATTAAAGAAATGATCGCAGCAGGTGAAGATTCATCACGAGGAGATACCTCGAACTCCTGAGAACGTCAATTATTGCGAAGGCATGACTGATTCTCCAGGGATTGGTATTGCTTCATAAAACCTAGAATTTCGTAACTACTACCCCAACTCTAACCGCATTTCTTCAAGAAAAGTAAAGTCTATTTGTTTTTAATTTATTGCGTCGTCATTAACGCAACGAGTCTTTTGAACCCTTGTCGGGGGTTGAGCGTTACACGGAGAAATCCTATCTTTGTCAAGTCTCGTCACGTTGCAGTCAGTCTGCGCCTTTTATCCCTTCGGCCAGGGTCTCGACTCCGTTAGATCCCGGGATTCCCAGCCGGTCACCCAACCCGCGATATCTCGAATTAGCTTAACCTCCGCGACTTCACGGATCGTAGTAAACGAATTCGGCTTACGCATTCCGGCGTTGCGCGAGTGATACTGACTCCAGCCGCGGAAGCTTACGCCCTCGTCATTCGGCATGTATGTCCCGGGGGCGACGAACGCTTTCGTCGTTGGCCTTGTCAGCGTAGAAAATGCGACTTTTTCTTGGAGGTGACGGCATTCCTCTCCTGATGGACGGCGAGATCCGGCGCCGACTTTCACGTCGGCCTGCGAAGATTTTCCCTCCAGTTATCTCCCCCAGCAGGGCGCCGTCCCAGCCTACAAGCTCTAAGTTCCTGAGTAGTCTCCAAGTGCGACAGTGTAGTGCATGTAATGAAGACTAAGGGGTCTGCTAAAGATAGAACAAGGAAAGCAAAGAACTCTCGCGCGCGGTCCGTTCGCTATAAGTGCTGCTCCGGCATCCGCAAGATGTTGATCGGATAAACCATGGAAAATACCGATCAGAGCAGTAGGCCACTAGAACTCACCTCCAGACAGCGCCCGAGTTCGACCTAGCTCAATAATCCTGCCATCGTCAAGACTGGAACTCTATAACCTCCCGGTTACTGCAGTCACATCAGTTGATGCCCTGAGCCACCTTTGCTGGTATAAAAAAACACTAATCGTGGATATATTTAGTAGAGCGTATGTTTAGTGCATATTAATTCGATCCCTACTAATAGTTGGCGCGTCCAAAATCAGACACACGTAACTCACTGAGAAGGAAGAGGGAGGAAGAAGAAAAAAATAGATGTGTATCCTGACTACTGTGAAATGTACAAAATATGAACTTAAAATTGCTCGAATCACTTAATATTTCCTTTCGTATGATGCTTGGAGGGGCGAACCTTACTGGGATGAAATATAATATCCCTACTAATAACATCAGTAGTTGGTGCGCCCATAATCAGACACTCGTGACTAAGGCGGAAGAGGGAGGGAGAATAAAACAATAGTTGTGTATCCTGACAGCTGGGGAATGTCGAAAATATGAACATCATATTGCTCGAATCACTTAGTATCTCCCTTCGTATGATACTTGGAGGGACGAACTATATCGTATTGATACGCTATCGAACTATACCGTATTCAGACGAACTATACCGTATATCATACTTCGTATGATACTAGGATGAAATATTCGATATAACCATTGACCCCCCCCCCTTCAATTCCAGGGATATCGTTGAACCACTATGTAGTATTTCGATGGTACGAAATGTATTGACTCAGCCAAGCTCCGTTGAAGTACATATTGGGTTGGTACATATCTGACGAGTAAGTTTTTCTAAATATCAAATACTTTGATAAATAGGAAAATTCGATTTTATTCGCGAGTGGAAAACATTATCATCCGAGGTGACGTAAGACACTGATTGCTATTTTTACGAGGAAATATACGAATGATTATTACTTCAGCATACGGCCGAATAAAAAGCTACTGTTAAGATCACATCACTGCCATCTAGCTCGTCGCATCGTAAGATGCCAGTCCTTCCAGTAAGAAGAAACTCTAACCTTAATAATTCTTGGTCCGCTGCACTGACAGCGGCAATATTCTAAACTCAATCGATTCAATAGTGCGAGTGAAATGAGTTCGCTTTCGCGGGAAGAAATTGGATAGGTCCCTGGTTGGGGAGGCTGTGACTATTGATTGGGCTGAAGCGGAAACGGTTGAAACGAAGAACGCAAAAAAGGTGCTAGGTGGTGAACACGATAAAGATGAAAGGATGAAATGAAACGTTGATTGATTCAATAGTTTCGCGGCGGCTACTGCTATAAGGTCCTTGGATGATTCCCGTAAGTGTGGTGCTTGTTTTATCACGGAAGGTGGCAGTGATCTTACCCTGCTAGATGGCGAAGTTCAGTACCGTCGGCTCGCAAGGTTTTCCCCAATCAGGTATCTCCCACTAACGGTGAACCGTCCCACCCAGGACAAGCTCTACGCCTGATCTCCCGATGTGTGGCAATGCAGTACGTGTAAGTGTGTGCGCAATTAAGGGGGGGTGAAGACCCACGGAAGAGGAAGGAATGATCGCGCGCGGTACGTGATCCATTTGTTAGTGTACTGCTCCGGCATTCGCCAGGTGTTGATCGGAGAAACCACGGAAAGCTTCCGACCTAAACAGCCGGTCGCTAGAATTCTCCTCCGGGAAGCGACTGAATAAGACCGAGCTGACAAGCTATGTAGTGTCGATAAACCTGCCACAGTGGGGACTCGAATCGTAGGACTTCCCAATCAGAGGCACTGCAGTGATGTCATTTGATGCCCTGCGCCCCTTGCCCTCAAGCCGATCCAAAGGAAACAGACGAGGATCGAGATATGGAGAGCTGGAGAGCTCACATATACATCTGACAGTGGAACAGAATACTGGAGAAGATCCCCACATTGCCCTTTTTTTCCACAAAAAGTCACATACAGTTTTTAAATTATTTCACGTTAAATAAATAGACTGTGCATAGATAGAAACAGGGGAGCAACTCTCTCCCACATGTGCAATCACTACCAAAATATGTCAGGGGTTCACTTGTGTGCAATAGAGATAATATGAAAAATAATTTTGTGTGCGAGTTTTTAATGAATTTTGAATTATGTCAATTATTTATATTAATGTAACACAGTATGACATATGTTTATATTGAACACAGTACGAGGCAGCATCTTTTTTTTAATAGTACCTTAAGTCAACAAAGTCAAGTTAACAAATCTACAAGGCAGCCTCTAAGGCCATATTTACATTATTAATGTTGTTTGTTTTTTTTAATTTAAGTACCTGTATACATCAATCATTTAAATACAGTAAGATTTTTCTGACAATATATTTTGGATTGAAAACTCTATGTCATTAAATTTTTTTAGAGTTAATCATTGAAGCTCTAGCTATTGCTGAGCAGTAACTAGATTATGGTTCATTTTAAAAAATTAAACTCCTCTTCAATAGCTATTATCTGGTAATGTCAATGAAAATGTTCTGAAACAATTTATATGCTCATTAATTAATCTATACAAAAAGGAATCTCTGTAAGAGTTTGAAGAACTCACTTTTGTTTATAAACCAATGTTTATAAGTCATGTGAAGTAACAATGGGGAAGGCCCAACTTATAGGTTTGTAAAACAAAATATTATGTTAAAAAATTTGAAACCTATCACATTTAAATATGGATAACGAATTCTAGAAACCTTAAAGATTACAGCATAACTATATTTGCATTGTAATAAAATTGTGATTTTTAATGATTCCAATTTAGAAACACCACATAGAGGTATTGGAATATGTATTTAATTACATTTTAAAATCATTAATAAAAATGTTGAATTCAGAGCCATGGCAAGATCCCTGTGATACTCCCAATGTTACAATATATTTTTCCAATATAAAATTTAATATAATCGAATAAATATATTATTACGATTTTTATTTATCTTTCAAACATTGCCAACTTTAAATTAACACATACACCTCACGTTTGCCTCAACAAGGCAGAATAAGCCAGCATTTTTATAGCACCACACCAAGTGGAACTCACCATGTCCAGTTTTAGGTTTTTGAATTTTCATGCACAAGTCACATTTTTTTCTTTTATTGAAGTCCTCCAATTTGGATGAGCTAAATTATTGATTACTTCCTTTTTTAACCAAGAAAGAAAAAAGTCAAAAACAGAAAAAACAACCATGGACCACAAGATCTCCAAATCATCAACAGACTAAAATTTTTCATTACATTGGGGTGTAATTCAAATTTTACATTACATATGGGTGTAACAATTTTAAAATTAATAAAACAAGGACAAGTTACTATAACTTTTAGGGTAAAAGTTGTTGTTTATTTTTCGAATGTAAATATTTTGCTGCAATATGTAAAGAATAACAAGCAGCAGAACCTCCATTATCTTGCGTATTGTCAGAGAAAGGGGGGGGGGGGAATAAAAAAACCCTATAAGAGATTGCATGTCATTGTCATGTCACAAACATAACAGTGGCGTCTTAGTTGTCTAAAACAAACCAAAAGTAATAAATCAATAGTGTGTAGTTTGAAGGAGTCACTTCATTTGAGAACCTCTTGGCAGTAAATGACAGTTAAAAAGATTCCTAACAATGGTCATACATGTAATTAGCAATAATGGGTATGGACACCCTGATGTGATACCCTCAACAATTTATGTTTCAAAGTTCTTAAGTATGCAAATATTTCTCCAACAAAGAATATGGAATAACATCAAAAGAAAACTAAAAAGTCCTAGTAAAACAGAAATATTGAAGTAAGCCATGAAATCAGTGTCAATCAGCCACAGTCCAGACACTCAATTCTATATCACTGCTTTCTCCTTGAAATCCCTTTTCAGTTTGTGTGAGTGAAACTGCTGCCACAGTGTATGACTTATGTGTTTGACGTGTTATGTGCCTGCGATAGCTCCATAACATAATAACAGGATTGCAGTTATGATGTTATTTAAGACATACTCTGCCAATATTTCCAACAAATGTCACAAATTCAAAATATGATCTGAAAATATGAATCATAAATTGAATGTAAATATGAATAAGTGAATATCAAAATAAGAAAACGTGAATCACAAATTCAAAATAGACGTTCAATATTGCCTTAGTCTAACCACAGTAACCAAAGAACAAAGCTTTGCAGTGACTTTAAGAGAGAGAAGGGGGGCAAAAGAAGGCAACAATTACATAGTTCTTATGTGTAGTCTGAAATATAGAAAGGGAAGGATGATCTTGCCTCCTCAATTTGAGCCTTTTTTTCCTAAAGTAAAATAGAATGATCCCACTCAAGTACAGTAATATGATCAAATTACATTTTCCCCATTTAAAAATTAATTATTTTAAATTTTTTCATTTAAAAATTTTGATTTACTCATTACAATTACTGTTACAACAAATTGGTATAGAGCCTGTATGAGTCCAATCCTACAGAAAGTTATAATAGCCGCAGTATACTGACCTTAAAAACATATTTTTACACAAGACAATGTTTAAATAAAAATTATTTGAGTGTTGTTAAACGTTTTCTTTGAAATATCTTTTGGACAAGAACAATAAAATCTATGATAAGTTAAGAGTTGTGGAATAAAATAGTTTGAAATTTTACAGGCAACATTTGAAATTATTGGGTTGATGACTATTGAATTTGATAGCAATGGCTCTGAAACTAGACTGGGTAGTATCAAATCTACTATCAGGTAAACTCCTTATATTTTTCCCTAGTCACAATGAACATTTTGTTCCAAAACTAAACCACAATGAAGTATGAAATACCATCATGAAATGGCAAATTTACAAGAACTACTTCACAATAATTGGGAGGAAACTAAACCAGAGAGAACTATCTAATACATTTTTTTTACAACCAGATCTAGGTGGACTAATGCCATAAAAATGTTCAAAAACATGATACGTTGGAAATATTTGAATGAATCTCAATGGAAGCAGAATTTGGTATTGAGAAACATTTGGTGCAAAATTAACGAAGTGGGGAAGTTCCATAATACGATATTACTAGCTCTATTGCTTAATTTAAAACCAAAATTTTGTTTTCATACAGATCATAACAAATTTTTAAAGATGATTATTCACAGTTCCCAAAACTATCACTTTCAGCTTTCTCTAACAGAATTTACAGTACTTTATTTTTTAAACATATTCATGTATTTTACAATGAACTTTATAATGCACATAAAATTCAGACAGAGGCAAGTTCCGTACAATACGTCTACATCATTGTTATAACAAACTAAATTAAGTAGATTGAAATATATATTTATTAGATTTCAGAAATATTGCCTCACAAAAAGGATAATGTATTTTATTCCCATTTTCATTAAAAAACATGGAGCACTCAGTTCTTATGTTCTCTAAAATTACAAGTCTTAAGATATACTTTTGTTTTTCCACTCACCTTGTTCGACTTGATCCACTTGCTCTAGTAACTTGCGGATTTCTAGATGTCTCTCCCATTCTTTGGCTGCATTTGGAACCGTTTGGAAGTTGCTGCTCACTGTCAGAATAAGGAGTTGCACACATTTCACCTGTTATGATCATCTTTCTAACAAGTATTTCAACACGTGACATTCGCCGGGCTTTGTAATACCCTCACGAGGTATAAGTCAGTTACCCAAAATTTGGCCTTGTCCCAAAATACACTTCATATACACATTACTAAAATTAGAAATGCGGTACGTTAACCTACAAACTTTGGCAAATCCCCAAAAAAGATTATCGTCACTGTTAACACGTACAGAACAAAAATGTCGTTCTAAGGAAAGGCAATTTACATAAGCAAAATTAATTTATGACTTACCTTTTAAAAGTTTATCCACAATTTGGTTTAATTCATTTCGTTTCTGTCGCGACAGCTTCGAAGTACTGATGGTAATATTAACATCCTTGGCAAGAACTTTTCCTTTTCCTGCTGTTTTTCCATGTCCCTTTTTCCCCATTCTAAGTACGAGTTACATGAATCACGCATACTATTTACAATATGAATAAAAATTAATTTATCATTTCACACTCGTATAACGAAGCAGATTCCGGCACACGCACACGCTAAACCACAAGCACAAGGTAGGCGGTCCTCGTCTCCCGTCACTTGCCCGCAGCCCGACGACGAAACACGCTGGCCGCTTCTCATTTGTTGATGATGGTCTGCTTGCAGCGCGTAGCTCGGATAGCGGTAATTAGCGGTCAATCTTCGGGGGTAACGAACCCTATTAGTTGTATAATTTCAGGAGGGAGAACCTGCTCGAGAGTTGCTTGTTCCTTCAAATTTCGTTTTAAAATGTAAAACACATCGCGCACAAACTTTTTGCAGAGTGCGGAGTTAAGTTAGGCCATCAAATTTTTATTTTCCAATAAACGTACGTATATACGTAGAAATATACGTAGCATAGGAAAAGTTATGTATTACTACGGATAATCGATTTCGATAATTCGAAGGAAATACACCTTTTGGAGCCCCGTGCATACGAAAAAGTGTTGTTTTTTTCAAAACGTCCGTCTGTGAATACTACTAGCGCCTAAACCATGCGCAACCATGCGTAGGATCTTTTCCAAATTGAAGAAATCCCTGTACATCTAGCTCGAGTCGAAACTTTGAGATTTTTAAAATCATTCTCCAAAATTTGGGGGTTCTTTACATGAAGTCCTCCGGGCATTTTCAAAATTTCCTCAAAAACTACTCCAGATTTTGTCCTTAAATTTCTGGTAAGAATAGAGTAACATACACTTATAAAGGTGGCACATATATCCGATTTTCACGGTTAACTCTGAAGTTTCGAAAAATTCAAATGTATTATTGTTTTCGGTGTCTTCCTACAACTACAAAATTGAAGATAGAAATTTCCCCTTCAAATAATTTTTTTCTCCATAGTGAGTTCTTTCATTAAGGTCATGTAATTATTTTTGAAAATTGTTGTAGCCGTCGCGTAATATTGTGGACAATATGTTCAATTTTAGAAAAAAATTAAAAAAAAAAGATTTTCTCAAAAAGTCTCCACATTTTTTCTTTAAACTTTTGGTAGGTTTAGTGTTAAAAGTACTCCATAAGATGACATAAACGTCATTATGTCCTATTCTTTTTTTTTCTCAAAAATTACAAAAATGTAATTTTTTTATTTATCTCTCATGTTGTTAATATTTATATTAACGGCAATTCGTTTAAATTATTGTTTTTATGAGTACGTGTGCTGTAAATAATGTCATATAAAGTTTCTCGAAAACTACCGTTTTCGGTGAAAAATAGCTCAAAATTCTACATTTTCAGAAACGCTCAAACGCCATTTCTAAGAAACGGCTCCAAATTTTTTCTTCAAACATTTCGAACGGATAGTGTTAATTCCACTCTTTAATAAAGTCCATTTTGTAATATTTTATAATAATTTCTTTTTTGTTTTTTCAAAAATTACACAATGTTTTTTTTTTTTTTGAAAGATCTTCCACGCTGTTGATACGCTAATTTCCAGCAATTTGTAAACACTATTATTTTTTAGAGTTAACGTACTTAAAATTACTTCAAATGAAGTTTTTCGAAAGCTAAAAAAAATTTCTGAAAAGAGCCGCAAGTTTCGAATGTACAGTAGTGCTTTAACTCTAGTTTTATTAAAACATGCTCCAAAGTTTTCAAAGAAAACTCCTATTTAGGGAGACATCGTGAGACCAATCTCCATGAAAGTTGGCACATATATGTGTTTTTTTCTCCCAGATTTGTGAGGTGTAAATTTTGTTTGTTAACTCCTCTAGTTGGCGCTGCAGGACGAAATTTTGCTTCTTTTAATTAAACTTCCATTCAAACTGAGCTTTATTGTTGCTGGACGTTGTCGTCTGACGCAGGATCTCGGACAGGCGTGCGCGAGAAACAGAGAAAGAGGGTGGGGGGGAGAGAGACGAAAAGAAACCGACAGCGACGGAGGGATGCAGAGAGAAAGTGATAGATGTCGCGCATAAGTAAGAGAGAAAGGAGGGGCAGAGAGAGACAGAGTCAAACTTAGGCAGACCGAGACAAATAAGGCACAGGTAGTCAGACAAAAAAAGAGTGAAGAGATAGAGACATCTAGGGACAGGGATAGGCAGAGTCATAGACAGAGATAGACAGACTGAGAGTGAGAGGGAGAGGGCCGAGAGACGGCGAGAGAGAGAGCGGCGGATTGAATATGAAAAAATCTGGGCAACGCCGGGTATTTCTCTAGTATAACATATTTTAACCCTTTCTTTCTAATGCTCTTTCAAACATTTCTTCTCTTTCTTGTAATTTTTCCCTAATTTGATTTTTCATTCACTATTTACAAGATCATATTTGTCTTTTAGTTTTTATTAAACATAATTTTCTTGTTTTCACAATTATTCAATAAAGTTGTAAAATTATAGTGGCATGAACTTATTATACTTGCTGATTTTGAGGAAGATGAAATTTCCAATTAATCTCTTGATGCAATGTGTTTGTTTACAATTATTTGTTGAGGCCTTTTGTTCTGTAGTTTTAACAAAATTAAAAATAAAGTTAATAAAAGATAAACTATATTTTGTCATCAGGAGGCTTGTGTGCTTACTAACACACAATAGCATTCTATTTAACTACTAAATCTTCATTGCAGAGACAAGGTTGGGTGAGCTGGCATTGTAATGCATGTAAAGGGAAAGGTTCTGCATCACTACAACAGCAGGTAGCCTGCCAAGTGCATAGCTTCAGTAACCCTCTCTGTACGCACACCTTCCTACTTCACTGAGGAACATCCCTTAAAATCTCCAATGACATGCCAACAGAAGTGAAAGGAAGGCCTCTTCTTTTTCAAGAAAGCATCCTATAGGATATAGCAATAACCTATATAGGTTAACATTATTTATAAGTCTACTTCCTTTGTCAATTTCACGATATTCAATTGAAATTATGTGTGAAGGAATTTTTTTTTTTTTTTTTTTTTTTTTTTTTTTTTTTTAATTGCATAAATATGCAAGTCTTAAATTGTCACATTTTCAAATTTCGAGTTCCTTATTTATAGTTGCTTACAGCACCTCTCCAATGCAGGAGAACTATGAATGTAATTGTGTATTTGCACTTTCAAATTTGCACATGCATTTTTCACTACAAAGCAGTTTACCACCAACACTCTTATTGCATTCAAAGAATTCAGTTTTTTCTTCAGTAAATAATACAAGATGGCCATTTGCACATTCTAAATACAAAATAAGAATATGGAATAATCATGAAGAAAAGAATTAAAAAATCTATTCACATACTTTTATTTCTTCAAATCTCACTCATTTTACAGTACAAAGATTGAATATAGACATATGTACAACCATTTTTTTTCAAGCACAGATATTAAAGAGGACAAGAAAACAAATTAGAAAAGGCTAGCATAATTGGGGCAAACCAGTATCTTTGGTCAACATTCAAGCACAGGTCCAAGGACTGTCTTCACATCTTCCTGCACTTTTCTTCTTCAAATCTACATTCACTAAGAAAAAGACAACTACAACCTTGGGATGACATCAGTTTGGAACAATAATAGAGATCTTGATATGATACAATACAATATAAACTAATACATTTCTTTTGGGTTCTATAAAATAAAATTGGGTGCAAAATTTCCAATCACACAGTGTGACAGATAAATCGCTATGTAATATATTCAACAACTTCTCAACAGATGTAATAATTTTTGGTGTGTTAGCTGTATGTTTCTTATCTTGCACTTGCATCATCATTTCACACAAAATACTCAAAAATAATATACCGATGCTGCCTCCCAAACTTCTATTTATATAAAATAACTTTTGTGACACAACACACGAGTTCCACAACACATATCCTCAAAATAAAGGTAAGTCTTTTAACAGATCATAATACCTTCCCCCAAAAGGGTGCTGTTAAATTGTTTTTAAAAAAATAGATCAAAAGAAAAAAGAAAAGAAAAGAAGAAAGAAAGAAAAAGGAAAATTTCAAGGAAATAAGACAACCTTCCCAGAATCACTGATTCCGTTTGCCCAAAATTAAAATATAGCCAGACGTGCACGATAAATACAATATGTATACGAGCTGTTATCGTGAACACCTATCAGTATAATGTAATATAAGAATCTTACATTTTGAACATCAATAAACATTAACTATATTTCAAAAACACAGTCAAACTTTGTCTTAGCCACACTTGAATGTTGTATGTTTACATCATTAGGCTGACTCAAAAGTGATAATTAAAGAAGAATTACACTTATTTATGGATACAACAGTGAGCTAAAACAAAAACAACCAAACAAAGACGACTCAGTTTTTGAGTCACCACAGCATAGTACAGAATCTTTAGTGGTGGGTAAGAAGTTTACAGATATCACAGAGACAAAATTTTCTGGGCCAAGTACTTCTAGGCCCGTACTCAAGCGATGACAAGCGGTTCATCATCAGAAAAGCCGCGAATAACAGGTGAATCTTCTTCTTCTGTAACAGAAAGCAAAAATATGTAAGCAAAAATTTAGGGCAATAATGACTACAAAAAGACAAATGACATTATACATGCAACCAATTCAAATCTGAATGGTAAAGATATTTCATTTACTTTTATCTACACTTTATTTCCTAGTTGGATGCTTTTTGTCATTCATGAACACTACACTTTGTTACAAGCAGCTTCAATGGCAAAGTAGGAAAAGTGTGTTTTGAAAATACTAAAAATAATGAATGATAATATATTTTTAAGAATGACTAATACCGATTTTTAACCCAATTGCAAAGAATCCTCATTTGATGACACACCTTCCTGGTCTTCTCAAATTTACTTCCTTTGCACTAAATGATGATTTTATTCCTTCAAAAGATGTTAACATCCTCATGAAAACACAGAAGCAAGTTTTCAAATTCCTGAGAGCTAGATATTGATTTGGTCAAGATCGGTAAAGGATTGTTCATTTTGCTAAATGAATATGCACAAATGGGAGAACTACAGTGGAAAAATTTATTCAACTGTTAATGAGTTAAATATATCCTACTCCATTCCAATATTTAAAATAGCCAAAGGACAAACCTTGTTCTACATCTGTCCTTTCTTAAACACAAATTATAATGATCACACATTTCTAAATTAATAGATTAGAGCTATACCACACATTTCTAAATTAATAAATTAGTGTTTTACATCTTCTCTCAAAATCTCTAGCAAAAGAATAGGAACAAAATATTTGACCTTTCTTTTTAAAGTAAAATTCTCACGACTGTATTATTGAAACAAATTTAGTCTTATTTTAGATTAATTTGCTTAAGTACTTAAAGTTGAGAGAGTAGGCTTCCGCGGCCAGAGTAAGTATTTACTTGGCTGTCCAGGCGACGCCACGTCTATGGCAAAGGTGCTGACGTTTCGGTCGCCATTCTGCATTACGCCCTGAGGAAGCTTGCAGAATGGTGACCGAAATGACCACACCTTTGCCATGGATGCGGCATCACTTGGACAGCAGTACAGTACTTAAAGTTGTTAACAAGTAATTTGACACATTAAAAATTTTTCGATACATTTGTGGGAAAATGGATTTAGATTATATTTATGCCTTAAATACAAAACTTGCCAGATACTAACTGAAAGTGTGTTATTTGTTCATGGATTAAATAATAAAAAAAGAAATTTCAATATACATAAACTAATTAATTAAACTACTTAATACAAACTTGTAGCTATGAAAACAATACAACTACAAAGATTAATATTGTTTACATTAAAGCCACCATCAGCATAGTTAGAGCAATCATGCTATTGAAGGTGAATGGGCATCTTGCACAAAATTGGAGGTACATTAACTGTTTAATGTAAAAGTCCAATCTCCTCTGATTTTTGATTTCTTTGAAAACCTTAATGCCCAAGTATACTCACGATGTTTCATAAAGTTTGATATAATACTTTAAAGCCCAAACACACTTGTTATCAACAGTTAGTCCCAACCAAGTTCACTAGAGACCACACAAACAAATTACTCTAAGATCACTCAGATGACCTTTCCAAATTATTTAAATTTAAACTCTTCAGGATAGGATATAAAAATACTACATGGTCTCACTGATTGCCCAAAACTTCTTTCTCTTATCTCTCTTCATATCCCTCAGATGAGACCGACAAACCCTTCCCGTTTCTGGGTGGATGCATCTTCAACAAACTACAGTTATTATACCTTTAATAGACTACCTCGAACTGCCAATTACTATGCTGATAAGATTGATTTTCTGACTCATGAGATCACAAGTTCTTTTAGTTGTCTTAAACTTCTTTTTCCCACTGATTTCAACGTGTATAGACTATCTTTCATTGTATGATTTAATTCATGCTATGAGTGCTTTCACTACTTACATATGTAATTCACTGATACTCTGATGTAGCTATTTGTTTTGTTGTGCGTTTTATATTCTTTAAGTAATTTGCTTTATGTATTTTTATTGTAAGCATTCTTGACATGTGACTCGTGTGAAGTGACTACTTATAAACTTTAAAATTTACTTATATGTATTTTTAAGGGATGACCCATTAATAAATAAATTATATTGTCATAAATGAAATTTTTGATTCCAGAGCTCACGTGGTTAAAACATCTGCCTGGATAACAGAAGATTCTGGGCTCCAATTCCAGTGAGATCAAATATCTTCCCTTGCAACACTCCATTTTCAGAATGATGCATTGGCCCTGTTTTACCATGTTGGCAACAAGAGCTTTTTCAACAAACCCTGTTTGTTTCAATTGTTAGCCTTTAATGTGTGAGTCATTCCACTTAGTTATAATGTTTTACTAAACATTTCTTTACTAACAAATTTTATTAGAATAAATCTATTGGATGTACTTGAAAATATTGGGGAGAGAGGGATGCGTCCTGGTTATATTAATTTAATGAGGGGTGTCCAACTTGCAAGGCCTCAAGGACCACAACCAATAGTTTTAGTATGGTCGCGGACCATGTTTTCATTACTCGGGCAATTCATAGCTGACTTCCCCTTATTGTTGGTTTTGGCAGTTTACCTGGCTCCTCTAAAATGGGGGGGGGGGAACGAAATCGGACAGTACCATGAAATACTTATGGAATCACAATGGAATGATTTCAAATGTCTGAATTTATGAGAAAAAAAAGTTCTTAAATCTTAACTTGACCTATTTTTATATTAACAGGGGTTGACCCCGACAGGGTGTGTGTGCTAGGCCTGCAATGTTGCTGCCCGACATGGCAGCAAGGGACTTTCACCTTTGATAAATAACCTTTTACGGGCCTCAATGTCACCATGGGCTGCCAGTTAGGCAACCCTAATTTAAAGATTGCTGCATACAAGGTCATTTAAGTATTAAAAATTGTACTGATACACATTCATTTCCATGCGGGAATTTAATGTTCATCTTCAGATAATTGGACTCATTTCATTAGTCTCTTGAATTTCCTCACCATTAAAATTAGAACACACTTTCAGTTAATTTTGGAAAAAACTGATCACATACCAAATTCAAGAACTGCTTAACAATTCACAAAGGCTGAACACATTTACTTCAATGGAAATAATAATTCTCTTATAGGAGTCTGTTCTTTCACAAAGAGGTAATTATAAAAGAATTCTGATGAAACTAATAATTCGAAGAAACAAACTTGGTCTGATCATATCTTGAACTTAAAATGCTAGAGCCTTTCACCAGGTTCAATTTCTATGCATAAAATGAAATTATATAACATGCTTTGTTTTTAGTTTACAATGAAAACTACCCAAAATTATAATCATGCAATCAAGAAAACAAGCACACCAAAAAATATACCACTACTTTCTACAAGAAATAAGAGAAGAAAAGAAGCTTCAAATAGAAAATGGTGCTTACCCATAAAATCGCCAACTAAAAAAAAAAAAGGAAAGAAAAAATGTAAGTAGCTTAGTGGTTATCAAGTGTTATTTGAAAAGAAATAAATAAATAAAAGCAATTAATAATGTTAGAAAAGCATTAACAGTGCAATAAGAAATCACACATAAAAAACAATAATGAAAAATAAAATAAAATGACAATTAATGTTATAACAAAAGTAAAGTTGGGAAGACTGCAAATATTACAGATGAAAATAAAAAGTAAGATTAAAGCATATAATGTTATTTTTAACATGCTAAGTTTTTCTAAGAATATTTATTTTAGCCTAAACATACTAATCTCAAGCAAGAATAGTAACTTGCATTTCAACAGTATGAAAACAAAATTCACCCCCAGAACAAGTGTTTTGATATATATTAAGTTGAAAATGATTCTACTCAATACTTTTACTAGTTAGGAGACAAACCCTGTTTTCTACCACACACTTTAATAGTTCATATGTATTTTAAGAGAAAGAAAGAAAGAAGGAAAAAGAAAAAAAAAGAACCAAAGATGGATTTCATCTGTACATTTTCACTGTTTTATAACTTAGTTAAAAAGAAAATGGTAGATAATCTAGAACACACAAACTACAGGACTACGATTTCATTAATCAACTAGTGGATCTCGAACAGCATGAACTTTCACAACCCTATTTTCACATAAAATTACATGAAAAGTATTCATTTTCAAAAAATTGAACATGACCTTATTTTAAAAATCTATTATTAAGGAATAGATTTAATTAAGGGAAAAAATCTCTATCATTAATATTATAAATGTAGGAAACTCTCAAAACTTTTGAACTTTTGCAATTTTTTAAAAATCAATGTTTTCAATGATTGGGACATGGGACCTGTGCCATTCTTTTAAACATCTTTCACATTATTCATCAGCAAAACTTAATAAAAAAACAATGGAGCATTTGTTGTGAAAATTTTGAAAATGCCTCAGGGGCTTTGTACCTCCCAAATTAAAATGAATTTTAAGGGGCCATGACATCAGCCAGATCGATTGGGGAATATGAATTTTTGAGAAAATCAGGTGATCAGGTGAAGTGTTCACAGCCGGACATACATTTTGAAGTCATTCGATTTTTCATTATCAAGGACTGACAAAAGCAATAGGCTTGGCTAAACGTACACCAATCTTGCTGGAGCCCAACACATGTGCCTCATTAAAGGCAGTATTGCTGCACTAGAGTATATTTCTCACTGCATTTGCTGCAAACCTACACTTCTCTGGAAAGTAAATCTTCCCTATCCCCTTTGTTTACCACAGAATTACAGTAAACACAGGTAAATTATGTCATTGGATAAGTGGCTGCTAATGCTTGTCACTATGAAACCACTAGCAGAGCGACCCCATGTCACATACATCAAACACAAAGAAGATTGGAATAATATATGGCATTGGTGTAGAAACAGCCATTACTTTTTTTTGATTTGCATTTGTGAACACTGATAAAAGGGCTGCAGATTTGTTTAGTACATTGGAATGATACAATGTAACCATATCTTACAACCTTGTTATGAAAGTAGAAAAAATTATACCTAGAGAAAGAAGCAGTGACTCAAAGTAAACCAAGAACGGTAAAACTCTACACTTAAAAGAGGTAAAAAAAGAACAATATCTCTTTCACGACTTACCACTAGAAACCCAGTACACCAACAAAAGTTTGCCCTATTTATAATTTGCTACCATGTTTCATTCTGCTCTTAGCATTTTGTTCCTCTGAGGCTGATGTTTGCATGCACTCTATAAAAACAGTCAGAGGGACCGGAGCTAGAAGTCCCTCTGACTCACGCTAGGTTATCACAAGACGATGTGACAGACAATGCTTTGTTTTTGACATTTAGTGCAAGTTGATTCATATTTCATGCCAAATCGCCAGCGACATTCTCAAGTGCCAGTTCATATAGCTACAATTCCAAAGTTGTTTGAGTGTTTGGACTTCTGCTTTCAAAATTACAATGTTAATTCTGCCATCAGCAAACCTTCACCCAAAGAAACAATGCTTCTCTCTTGCAATTCAAAGCTTTTTATTTCAGCATATTTCCCATATTCCACAAATGTGAGTAAATGAATTTGTCAGTGTACAATTAATCAACTGAGAAAAAATGATGAGAAAAAAGACAAATTTTAATTTCACTTGGAAGAAGTAGAAAGTTTTGAATAAAGCAACAGCTGGTAAATTTACAAGCAAGGTGCCAATAAACTTATCCAATGTTTTGGCCAGAGAAAAAAAATCAGAGAAAAAATATACAACAGAGGAGAAAAAAAGAAGAGAAGTTATGAAAGCATACAACTTCATTTGACATACCTCATTATTTTATCATTAAGAGAGAAAAAACACTCCACAAACATGATTGTGCATCTCACTTTATTAACATTTTATCACAGCTTATGCAATGAAAAAATATGTTGTCTCTTTTGTGAAAATGGGTTGTGGAAGAAAAAGATTATTAATTGAACTTAAGAAGACCCTTAAGAGCAAAAGACTTTGAAATAGACAGAAGAATGGTGATATGTAATTGTCGTGATTCTGTCTTTGTCAATAGGCTGACATGCATATATAAGAAGAGGTTTTCTTCTAAATTTCCCATTGGGGTGGCCTAATATTCACAAATTAAGCCTAGATGGTTCATATTTTTACATTGCCTTTCAGTCACTAACCCCGTAATTGTTGACATAACAATAAGCAGCAAAGAGAATAAAACTACCATTAAACCTACAAAACCTGACAATAAATTATATTCATGGACGAATTCTTGACATCTACTGTGAAATAGTCATGTGATTGAGTCCAATATTTTTGAATGGGCTGGAAGAGAAGGAATCTCAAACGAAATCTGCACTACATGAATGAATAAAAATCATTGCCAAGATTTTGCTTCACGATGCATTAAACAAGGCCTTGCTCATCATTTTGATGCCTGGAATGTGCGTTTTGCAAAGGATGGAAATGAAAACATTGATAAAAGTATACAAGCTACATCCAACAACAGAAAAAGATGATAAAACGTTTTCTTGTAGCAAAAATTTCCCAAACTTGGAAACTTGAATGTTCCTTCCTTTCGAAATTCAAAACCTTATATTTACATTACATATTATCTTCAGCAAGTTGGATTCAGTTTTCCATGAGACATTTCCAGCCTAGAACACCCATTCATCAATACAGATCACAAAACACAAAAATGCAGCATAAGATTCCACTAGGGAAATGAATCAAACTTCCAAAAAACATTTTATTTCGCACACACGAATTTGACACCCAGCCCTATGAATTCCTGTAAGAGTGAGAGGGAAGCTGTAATAAATTGGAAATACTGCTCAGACGCTATTGCAATTTTATATATTATGCAAAACCTCAAGAAATGTACCATTACTTTTTTTTGGCAGTAAGAAGAATATTCACCAACAATCGTGTTTTGCCATGCATCATTATATTTGTCTCTTGTCTCTTGTAACAGTTTGCAAGGTGATCACAATAAACAACAATTGCAATAGGTTGGCTATGCACTTTGGATAAATGATCAACTGAAATCAATCATCATCAACTACTGAAATGGACTCTTCAGCAAAACTTCTGTAGAAGACAGGAACGAGTAGGGGAGCCAAGAATCTCAAACATCTTTTACTGAACCACAAATAATACTACCAATAATTTTATAAAATTATAGTACAAGTAATATTGAGACTAGTGTTTCAGTTGATAAGAATTGAAATAGATTTACATTACATTACAAATGAAACTATAATTGAAATTATTAGTAATATATACCATTGAAATTTTTTGTACTCTTAATTGAATTTTGTACATTTAGCATGTACATCTAATTTTCACAGCTATTGTTAGAAACAATACAATAGAAAATCAGACTGAAGATATGTGTACACAAGTTTGTCATAGCATCCATTCACAAATCA